ACTCAACGCCTTCGAGGATTTTGAAAGACCTTGTAGTCCTCTCTGTTCAAGATCAAAAATGAAAATCTCACGGAAAGCACAGATGACTGCGGAAAAGGAGACAACTGAGGATATGATTTCAGACACACTGGTGGATTAAATGACAGGGTTCACAGTTCCACAGGTGGCCGGGTTGGTTAAAAGACAGCTCTTCCAAGGGCTGTCAGGGGGATCTGGAAGAATCTCATCGTTAACCTTCTCCCTCATTTAATAATGCATGAAAAGAACGCTTTCATTTTTCTCAGCAGCAGACCTTCACAGGCGTTTGGGCAGGCAGCTGAATAGGGTCATCTCCCTCTTTGCTGCAATGCCATCTCGCTTACAAACAGAACCGCGGCTCAGGAAGTGACAGCCCCTGGGGTACCCTAAAGTGACAGCCCATGGGGTTCCCTAAAAATTACCATACCAATGCAAGACAAAACAACAAAACTGAAGAAGTAAAACCTGTTGCTCGGAACCCAAATCCAGAATCCAATCCTCGTGAGTGCGCATCTCACATAATTAATCACTCAATGATATAAAACAGGTAAAATACTTACAGGCTCACTGCTCCTTCGGCAGTCTTTACAGAAAGGGTATTTTTTTTCCCCAATATTTCCATGTGCCAATAAAATAATTTGACACAAATGGCATTGTCTCGGCATAGAATTTCGAATTTATTTTTTTTAAATATTCTACAATAAAATTACAAGTAAAATTCTTAAAAGAATAAAATTCTAATTAGCACTTATAAGTATGCAGTCTTTCAAAAATAATTCCTAAGTAAAATATCGTAGGTACTGGTCTGTAAGACTAAAATCCCTTATGTTCCCCAAGATAAGGTCAAGAACTGTAATGGGAGGTACAGTCTGTTGCTAGAGCCTGAATACTAAAAGAAACCACAGCTGTATGGACTCAAAACAGCCAAGCCTTTTAAAAAAAGTTGTGTCTCAACATTTTAATATGGGAATTAAGTAAAATGTGTTAAAGTGCATCCCGCATGGAGAAGAGGCACAGAGACCGACAATGATCATCAGCCTTGGCCACATGCTTGGACCAGTGATCATAGACATGAATAGCAGTGAGGACTCATCTGGATTTGAAGCAAAATGCTTAGACTGCACTGTTTTCTGTGCTTGTAGAAAATACTGCACGGATGTTCAAAGAAATCCTTTGATTTCAGTGAACATTGATGTTTTGATTCAATAAGTAAATATTGATTGCTGGTAATTACCATTATAGAAGTATGCACAGAAATATTTTAATTTTCTACCTTATAAATGTCTTCCCATTATAATAAGAGTAAATATTTAAGCACTACTATTCACTGCGACCTTTCTTTATTTAAATTGTCCTTGTAAAATCATTGTGTGGCTTCTATACTAGTGTCTTATACACCAGCAAATGGAGTTCTCTGCAAATAGTAAAGGTGAATGCAAATTGTCACCAAAGGGTCAGCCGGATTTTAAATGGAAAAATATCCAAGTAACATTCAAAAGGTAGACTCCCGCCCCCAGTTTCCAGATTTTGTGAAAATAATTTCTTCATATTTAATAACGCCAACTATTACACTGTCAGCCTGATATTAGCTTTCATGCTGCCTTGTCTCAGGCAGGAGAAGATGAAACCCAAAACACTGACTTAAAAGACTAGTTTATTAAAAAAAAAAAGGTCAGAGAAAAACAGAACAGCCTCAGCTCCCAGCGACAACAATTTTCAAAACTCCTGCAACACAGCCTCAAGTCACCAGAAATGTAATATGGATCTGTTCCGAGAAAACACAGCCCTGGCTGGCTGTCCTCGCTCAGCGCTGAGACTCCAGCCGCGGTGGGGAAAAGGAGAATTTGGAGCAACAGTACACACAGCAGCACTGCCTGATGGGAGAGCTCCCCCCTCCCGGCAGCAAAGGCGCAGCAGGGAGCAAGACGTGATGAAAGCGCTGCAGAATGGAGCTCCTTGCCCGGGCTGACACGGCTCTTGACTGCATCGCTGAAGAGCTGATGGAGTCTGTGCATTAATGTTAATGAAAAGGCAGAAAAAAATCCACTCCCAGAGAGCCTGACAAAGAAACCGACTTCTGCATGTCACAGAGGCACACTGACTCATGAATATAATTCCTAGCATTTATAGAGCACTTTCCACCCCGAGAACTCCACGTATAAGCATACTTTCAGGTTTAATAGATGCCTATACATTCAGAATTAGCACTTATTTTCCAAACCTCTTCAGCAGAGTTCCAGTGAAAGTGCATTAGCACAAAGAAAGGAACACAAATCAGTGAGAGACTTGGATCAATTATCTACGATCAAAATGAGCCAGATTGGCAAAAAAAAAGGCTATTTTTTGTAGCTGTTCTTATGAAATTGAAAGGTCGGTTCTTACAGTCACACATACTGCATCTGTGAGATGAGAAACTCACTGTGTTCACCTCCAAGGCTCTGTCTGCATGGCTTGGCACCTCAGTACCTGTCTAACTTATCTTCGTTTGTCTGACTCTGGTCACCTGTTTGTCCCCAAAGCTACCTGTAGGTAACGTGCTATGGGTGACGGGGCCTTCTCTGGAACTCTATCCCCAGGGATATCAATCTTAAATCCAGACTCCAAGCCTTCTTCTTCTGATAGGCTTTTATTTAATTAGTGTGTGTCTGCATCCTCTAATCCATTCTAAACACTTGTTGTTCAATTGTGCTGATCATCCTCCTATCTGTGTTATCTTTTTTTTTCTTACTGTAATGCATTTTGAGAAGCCATGTATAAAAACAACTATATAAAATATTATTCTTGATCATTAATACTAATTCGTGCCAACTCAAGTTTTAAAAGAGACAAGTATTTCATCATACTTTACATTGAAGAGACACAAGTAACACCTCACTACGCATTGCTATACTACTAAACTTACATTTACAGAAGGTCTCAAAGTAAAGGTGACAGTCAAGTCATTCCTGTCTGGCTCTGCAGCTGAGGAAGTACTTATGTTTCTGCCTTGGCCTAAGCTGAACAGTGTCCTTGGTGCAAGGAGCTCCTAAATAATCTAACTTTCCACACTACAGTTCCTCAATAATTCAGCACTTACAGCCAGAGAGCAAAGACCAAAACACTAGTAAGGTGCACTTCCCTGCACTTCTTTCAGAGAGCATGACTGCTGCTTTCACAATACAATCGACATGAAGACATGAAACTTTAGATGTTAATATATTTTCAGATATATTAAAAATACTGGCTGTCGTAAAGAGATCTACACGTTCATGCCTCCCGCTTCAACACTCCAGACGTGTCTAGCGCTCCTGCCTTTATCCCGGCCCGTACAGGACAACAGCCCTGCTAGTTGTAGACGATGTCCAGAACGGAAAGGGTTAATCGGGATAGGAAGCTTTTATGGTACATCTCTATTTGCTCTCATTCAATAAACCATTACTACATGACTGCAGGCCATAGGTGAGAGATCTAAGAATCAGCACACATCATGACTTGGTTACTGAGAGACACAAAGATTCTCACAATTATCACGAGACGCAACAACATAAGAAAGATTACAAACGAGAGGGGGCCACTGGGTCCATCTAACCCGTTTGGCAGCTATCAGCTAATTGATTCGAGGTTCCCCATCCATCTGTTCTGAAAAGCAACAAGGCTATCCACTTCAACAACTTGAATATGTAGCTGCTTCCAGACGCCCAAGAGCCTTGTGTAAAAATGTAGTGCCCGAGCCCTAACAGTGACTCCTGGAATATAAACGTAATAATTCAAAACGGATTCATTTTTTAACAAGACGAAAGGGAAAAGAATCGAAGATGAATGAGACGGCGGCCGCCTTTTCTGTTAAAAATAAAAGGGAAGTTATCATAACCTCACCCCACCCCCACCATCCTGCCATTTAAACACAACTTGAAGTTTTTATTTCTGACTGTTCATGCTGCACATGAATGATCTTTGAAGGAGAGCTGCAAGAGTCAACAGAAAACCTCCCAAGGTACGGATGACGTGTGGGTGAGTCAAAGAGCCTGCAAGCTGATACTATTCTCCAGTGGGATTCTGCTGTGTAACCAAATGAATGCCACAGGAATTTGTTCTGGTCTTAATGATGAATACAAAAATGTATAAAGAGAACCTTTAGCTACAGAAAGCTATTCCTTCAAATACAAAGCAAAACAATCAAACCCTGTGGTGCTCCATACAGCAGCACACTGACAAGACTGCTAAGCACAGCAGCGTGTTAAGGTCAGAGCACTCCAACAACAGTCCTTAATAGTCACAAAATGCAAATTTTAACATTAAACAGTTTTAAGCATACTGTTAAATATTATCATATGTTGGGAAAGGCTATCATGGGCGATCAGGACAAAGGAGCTTGTTACAAAAAAGGACATGCTTGACTCAGTTTGAGCCAAGGGGGAGTAATGAGTAATTTTCGGTAACCGTTTTGAGTAGAGGAACACACTGTACCACAAAATGCACTACAGTGTTCTTTTCTGAGCGTTTCCTTTTTTTTGTCTTTTTTTTTCCATCTGACGCTTTATTCACTTGGTCAAGTTGTGTGCTCGTGCGGTTTCATTTCTTTAATGGAGAAAATAAAAGGTTAGATTAAAATCTATCTATATATGTTCCTTAATAATGTGAAGCTGATGTGAATTTGAAGACAGGATGGAAAAGCAGTGGAGAGCATCTTCACAGGGGTCCCTAAGGTGATGAGGGGTAATGTGAATGCCTCGTGGACAGTGAGCCAAGCAGCAGGCACTCTGGGCTTCTTTCTAACAGCGCTACAAGTTCTATTTTGGAGGAAGTGAGGTACTGTACTCCTTGGATGAACTTTATACAGCTATAAAAAATGTTTTTTATTTATACAGCTAAATAAAAAGGCTAGAAACGCTGCAGAAGTTTCCATCTCGCTGCCCGTTACCAGAAACCTGCCGACGTTTTGGTCTTGCGGGTTTTTTCGAAGATGGCGAAACGCGCGAGACGTTCCACGGCGGCGAGGTTACCTGGGGTGACGGTCAGTTGAAAGTGGTGGAGCTTGTTGACATCGAGGAAATTCACTTTACAGGTACCTGGAGGAGGGAAAAGAACAGCAGAACAGAGGCGGGGATTAGGAAAACCACAAACACCCCTGACACCGCTCGCAGAGAAACTAACTTCTCACTGAACCAAAAAAGGCAAATGCAAATGAGTCAAACACAGACTCTGTTTAGAGGACAGAGTGTTTCTCAGTTGTACAGGCTACGGCATTTTTAAACTCAACAAACAGCTGAGAGAGGAGCCCAAGAAACACAGGAACACGAGAATCCTTTTCTCCAGGAAACAGCCCACACAAGTATACATGTAGCAACACACATATGCAGACATCAAGCAGACACACACACACGTAATTGTACTCAATGTCTGTGACAGGTTTTCTTACATTTCTAAAGGAAGCCCTTACCACATTATTTGTATTAGAGAAAAAAACAACTTGTAAGAGCTGGGAAATGCAAGACCAGGGCAGCTTTCTGAAGTGGGTAAATGCTCACAGAGGGGCTGGGCTCTGCACTTTTCTTCACACCCACCACATTGCCAGGGCTTTGCCAGGGGAACAAGAACTCAGAAGTAGAGACAAATTAACAAAATTTAAATCCTGTTCTTAATATCACTCCACTCACTTGGAATTAAAAAACCCTCTCGACATTTCGACATTGAGCTGTGCCAGGATATCTCGGAAGCGGGCACGGCTTTGTCTCTCTGACAGAGACGGAGCTGGCAGGGCAGGGCATGGCACCAGTCCCTGCGCCAACGCCAAGCATCCGATGGCTTTTGATGCTCCACTTACAAAGAGAACTGGGCTGAGAAATCAAAGGGATGATTAATTCCAGCAACTCTCTGACAGGCCTGTAGCGGGGGTGGGGGGTGGGGGGGGATAAGGTTTCAAACTCCATGGGCACAAACAGGTCAAAGAAAAACAAAACTCAAGTGGCCACTATAACTCATGAACGATGCAGAAACAAAAATGTATTCTTTAAAGAGGTCCTGAGCCAGGTAGAAGAGGAGCTGAAATGCAGAGTTTCTCTGATTTGTCAGATACTTGCATTTTTAAGTTCTACTTCTGTAGCCTATGCTGTAAAAATCGATATACTTACAATCATCACAATCACGCTTTTTGTCATTTGTCCAGCAGAAATAAGGATGTAGTCATTCACCACAGTAAAAATGAGAAAATATTTTCGGAAATCTCATCACCTTTCTGAATGTAGATGGCAACAAAGATAAACCTTTGTTTAAGCAATGCAAAATAAAAATACTTACTGTCTTAGACTGTTAAAATCCCTGTGCATTAAACCTGCATTTGTCATTAGACATCCAGGTGTTAGGAACACAGATCTGGATATTATAAATGAAGCAAGCTACAACGAACTGTGGTGGAAGTGATAATCCTTCTGTGAGGTGAGGGTGAAAGTGTTCTGTTACAGCTGTTATATAAATACAGCATCACAGGGCTGAGTAATAACAGTAATTCTGCTTATAACCCCACCTACTGCTAAAACTGATTATTGCACCCATGGAGTTCAGGTCAGAGGCAGAGGGATAGTCAAAGTTGGAATACAGCCTCGACTAGGTCAGGTGAAATGGAGTTCTGACTATAGGCTTTCACAGTAATGGAGTTTTTTTTAATATTTCTCAGCTAAACAAATGATGGGATAGGGCCATAAAGCACTGACCATGAGAAGGAGACAATATAATGGTGCTAATGTTGTACTTACTGGGAAGATTTGCTTCAAGGTCTGCAACTTCTGCAAAACAAACAGAAATACAAAAATTACTGAAGTTATTCTTTTGGAAATATTAAATCCTTGACTACAGTGAAAAAGCTAAGACCACGAATCAAGACCAACTGCTTGGAAAGAGGCCGAGAAGGTAACAGTCAACACACTCACCTGAATGCAGGTTTCTAATGTTGTACCAGTGCTACACCCCACCACCCTCGGCTCTGATTTGACTCTTTGGGGCCGAATCACTGGGACTGCTCCTTCTTCACCACAGCTGAGACTCCATACCAGCCTCAACCTGCTCTATCGCTGTGGCTGCCCCACCGCTAACCCTCCACACATCAAAGCCCCCTGCTGCTCGCCTGTCAGATGAGAAGTTTGCCTTGACATTTCCCTCGGCTGCCTCAACAGGTCTTTTCTGACGTTACAGCACGGAAAAGGCCAGCGCGCCCATGTGCTCCAGCACCTGGGACACCCTTACAGGTACAATGGAAAGTGTGTCTCGAAGCACTGACGCGCCTGAAACACAGCGCACCAGGGCTGCCCGCTCAGGAAAGTTAAAACGAGTACGGTGCCGTCTCCTATTAGGACAGGATTATGAGGATACTGTAAACACAGTGTTAACCACCTTGCCTGGTGTCAGACCTCAAGTGTCAGACGACCCCAAGGCACTTTTCGAAACAGCAGGGTGTTAATCCCAATTTACTGGCTATATCCCACTCTGGGTTCATATAACCGGGCCTCCCTGAGGTTCACCCTCATACCAGGACTGCACTACAGAGGTGGATGCCATGAGTCCCTTCCAATAAGCAATATGCTTTGGGATCTGTCAGGATTAAAAACTTACAGCATACTATGCACAGTTTCCGTCTTTAATAATACCATAGTGGATGATACTGTACTTGAACTTCAGTCTAAATTGAAAAACTTGGAGGTGATATTTGAATCAGGCTTGACATTTGACCCACGTGTGCAACATATTGTTAAAACATCATTCTTTCACCTCAGAAATATCGCCAGACTACGTCCTGTGTTATCACTAACTGTTGCTGAAAAGCTGATCAACACATTTGTCTTCTCCCGAATTGACTACTGTAACGCTCTGCTCGCTGGGGTTCCTAAATTCACACTGAACAAACTGCAGTGTGTCCAAAATCCAGCAGCCAGAATCCTGACCAGGTCTAGTGCAAGTGATCACAACACTCCGTTACTCCTGGAGTCCTTGCACTGGCTTCCTCATGCTCACCTATAAGGCTCTGTATGGCTTGGCACCTCAGTACCTGTCTGAGCTTTAATGAGCTTTAATCGCCCTACTCTCCACCTCATAACCTTTGCTCTTCTATCTGTCCCCCAAGCCCGTCTACACTGTATGGGTGACAGGGCCTTCTCCTGTTATGCCCACAAGCCCTGGAGCTCTCTCCCCAAGGATATCAGAGAGTCACATTCTCTAAACTCCTATAATTCTACCAAAAGAACAGCCAAAACACTGCGTTTCTTTCTTCTCTTTTCAGCATGGAATAAACCTTTACTTGTTCCTTTGCACCCTATGCAGTCTGACGCAGCTGCCTACTTGAACTCCTTCAAATCTAGACTCAAAACCTTCTTCCTTTGAAGGGCCTTTACCTAACTGGTCCTGTTATTTACCCCCCTGATCCTCCTGTACCCAGTACCCCCATCTCTCATTGTGTATTTTCACTTGTGCGTATCTGGTGTATTTTGTTTATTCTTGTGGTTGTCGTTATGTAAAGCGCTTTGAGAAGCCACTTTTAAAGTTGCTATACAAAATAAAGTTTATTTTTATTCTAATAAGAGCTGAGCTTTTCAATGAATATCTCCAGTAAACAAGATTTCAAGAAAGAATTGTGAAGCACCCGTCCCATTTCAAAGCCCTGCCCGTTACCAGGCATGCTGAGCGCTGCCAGCACCACAGACTGCGTGTTCAACGACTCGGACAAGGATCTTGACGACACTGGTAAAGATGACACCAGAGCTGGAACCTGGCAGGAGCAGAGCTAAACAGTTGTGATCAACTTTGCGGATTTGTTTGGTTTCCATTACATCCAAAATGATTGCAGCTGCACCGTTAGCAGGGAGTGATTCCCCTCGCTCGTGCTGTGCCCTGGGGCGGGGAGATCTTGGAGTCACAGTTTAAACGTCTTTGATGTTTCTGATGCTGCTCATTGAAACAAACCAGAACGATTTTTATTCGCTGTCAGTTGCTGCCCAGTGAGAGCATTAAATCACACAATTTGGCTTATCCATAGATGGTCCGAGCTGGAAGCGAACTGTTGTTTCCCATACCTAAATCACACAAAACAGCCTGGTGTGGATTCTTTCCAGCTCCTAAATTCAGACACGATGTGAAGAAACAATTCTCAAGATTGGAATGAAGTAGAAAAACATGTTGTTTTTTTTAAACCTCTCAGCGAAAACTGTAATGGAGGGATAGCCACACTGGGAAAATTTTCAGAAGCTATTATTCTTTTTAAAAACAAAACTTTTAAGCATCAAGTTCCTGAGGATGAACAATGGAGTGTATTATTCTATCAGTGGACCCACAGAAGGGGGTTTTAGCACAGTCTGTGCTGGTACAATAGAAATATTGACATTGCTACAAAGTAACTACTTATAGTCAAGGCTAATGCAAGTTTATAAAACTGTGATAAGCAACTACATAACTAATCACTAGAGTTTTTTGGAAGCATTACATGGGTATAATCAAAACTATACTGATACAATTCAGATAATTATGTTCAACAAGTGCAATGTGCAAGCTCAGCTACAGCTAGTAAGCTGCAGCATTACTCCATAATCATTCTACTCTTCCACCAGTCTTCCTCTGCCCCGTCTCCATTCTGCCCCGCACTCGCCCCTCAGGAACAAACTGCCCTCAGGCCCTGACCACAAGCTCAAGATACATCGTAATTTCTTATACACTTCTTCCCTGTAGAAATAGAATAGAAACCAGTGTTTTAAAATGACCACTCTGAAATCACAATCTTTACACTGTTGTAGTTCTTACCTTTTTATTTTTTGGTGTTCCCCCAGCATTGCAAATCTATCTCTGTGTTTATGATTAAGCGATTTTATTTTCCTGCACTTGCATGCGCATTCTCCTTGAACTTACCCCTAATGTAATATATGCCTCAAAGAACTGCATGTGCTAAAGAGATAACAATAATACACACAATGTTAATCACAAGAAGCTTATTTCATTGGTAATATAGAGGGCTTTCTAGGACCTGCATTGCAAATGATTTTACAACTATGAGCTCACAGTAGTTTCAGAATATGTTGTAAGACTGTGAGCTCATGTATGGGTAAAATATATACTATTACGCTTTCTGCAAAACACATCCAGCAGTTTATTCAAAGTTTAATGACAACCTCTTCTGTGGTGTCCTAAAGGATGCACCTGTAACAGTGCTTTGGACAGAAGGTTAGGACACCTACACCCAACAATTCACACGTCCAGTGAGACTTCCGTTACAGAGTAAGACTCTATCAATTAATAAATATCCAGTTCCAGGACTATTCTCACAGAGACCATCACTGCAGCTCCACCTGAATAAGCAACCTACAGGTATTCTGTTCAGAATATTCTACTGACTTGGCACATCTGCAGATTTTTCAGCAAAAAAAAAACTGTGCAAGTCCTCCAATCTAAATTTCAAATTCAGCTGCTGCTGCATCCATCAGACTGCTTTGCAAACAATCCCATTTGACTCCTATTACCGTAAGTTCAGGTTCAAGGCACCCTTCACATAAAGCTGTGTCAGTGTAATCTCAGCTGCTATTAGGCTGTTGCTTCTAAATCATTAATTGACTCCTACTGGCATGAGGCTCCTGCTACAGGAGTCTGAGTGACAGGCCACCCCTGGGTGTTCTCACAGCCTGGGACTGAGAGATTAGGAGTGCAGTGCTCTAATGGGCTGGACTGCCCTCGGCTTCAGATGACTGGGATTGATGGCTTAAATCCACTGCATCTTTAGGATTGCACACTCCCAACAGTGGATGGAAAATAAAAAATACGAACCCCATCCACATACCGCCAGCTCCAGGTTCATTCAAACCACTGCTAACTAATGTAACAAAGCTCGACTTGGCAAAACCTTGCTGCTAGACATTCAGTTTTTATTGCACAAATGAAAACAAAACCCACTGATCTGGCTGACGCTTTTATTGAAAGTGTCTAGCACTTATACCCATTTACACAGCTGGTTATTTTACTGGTGCAAATTGGGTAAAGCACAGTGCTCAAGGGTACAACAGCAGGGCTCCCGCTGAGATTCGAACCCACAACCTGCCTCTTGCGAGTAAAGGACCCTGACCGCTGCTCCACACAGCTGGTGGCGATAATGGATATTGCATAAATATCTGTCTGAAGTACAGTAATTGCATTTTTGCAAGATTTATACCCTGTAAAGCTGTTAAAAATGTAATCCTCAAATGTTTGCAAGTCATCAGCTAGGTTCACAAAGCCTTGGAAAGATACCTTGAATGCCACAAGATCACAGACGAGGACATAGAGAATCATGTCACCTGATCATGGGAAAAGCCAGAGAGCTGTCCAAATAGCAAAGCTAAAAGATTATAGACCTCAGCAGCTAGTTACAGCTGTAAAATAATTCCATTAGAGATCCCCATTTCAACTGTACTGTCCACCTGCCAAACATTCAGGTTGTTCTATTTTTTCGCTGATTTTGATTGTCTTGTATCTTTTGGCGAGCAAAAGAATCTTCAGAGGCTGAACATGCTGCACCAGCAAGTGGGAAGAAATCTCACTGGTGTGCACCTCAACGTGCTTTCAGGCCTGCGCTCCTTATATTAAATACACAAAATAAAAAGCATCAAGGTTTAATTAAGAGTGGGGAATGCTAACGTTTTTTTATGCGTGTGTGCATCTGCTTGCTATGCATACTGTCCCCCTCTCTGAAAACAGCAACTGATCATCAAGACGCTGACAAAAGCACCTCGGTTTCCGAGCTGCTGATGACCTTCCTCCTCCACAACGAGCTGCCAAT